AAACGATACTAAAAAGTGTGACCCTGGTGCTCGATTAGTCGTAAATAAATTAGATTAAAAACGATTACTAAAAAAACGACATTACTTTCTTGCCAACCCAATATTTATAGAAATAACGGAAATAAAACTATAACATCTTGGTTTTTACTCAGACAAGCATGATTTTTGGAATATAGAGTTTTCTAGCGACTCTTGAATTAAAAATTAAATTTTATCAAAATCGGAAAATAATATCATATAGCTGCCATATAAACAATAGACGAAAATATGGAAAATGAATAGAAAACCCGTCATAGCTTCGATGTTTTTTAGCCTTTATGCATTTTGTTCGACATACGAGGTGTATTCAAAAAGTACCGCGAATTTTGTGATTTTTCAAAAATTATTTATTTATTAATGAATATCTATTTTGTCCCCTTCAAAGTAATCCCCATGAGATATTATGCACTTGTGCCAACGGTTTTTCCAATCTTCGAAGCACTTCAAAAAATCATTTTTTTTATCTTGCTCAGCTCCTCCTTCGATGCCGTCTTTATCCCGTTAAGCGTAGCGTACCGTCGTCCTTTCATGGGCCTCTTCAGTTTAGGAAACAAGAAAAAGTCACAGGGGGCCAGATCTGGGGAATACGGTGGCTGCGGCATCATAAGTGTGTTGTTTTTAGCCAAAAAGTCGCGCACAAGCAACGTTGTGTGAGCAGGGGCGTTATCGTGGTGCAAAAGCCAATTTTTGTTCTTCCACAAATCCGGGCGTTTCTGGCGGATTGCTTCGCGCAAATTGCGCATAACTTGCAGGTAATAATCCTTTTTGACCGTTCCTCCCTTTGGCCAGAACTCATGATGCACCACGCCCCTGCAATCGAAGAAAACTGTCAGCCAAACTTTCACATTCGATTGGCGCGCTTTTTTCGGTCTTGGTTAGTGCGGCAGCTTCCTTTATATTATATAATCTTGATCTTTGGTGAATTAAAATAACCAGGCGGTTATTAATAATAACTAGTGAATTTATGAGAGTGAGTGCAAGGGAAACAAATACCAAATTAGTGGGTCCCCAATTTAACCGATTTTTTCTTAGGGATCGCCATAAGAAGGCGTGACGTCAGGCGTATACCTGTAGACCCCGCTGAGGGAGTCTTTTCCTACATTAGGCCGGTTACAGTCTGAACGTCTTACGCCAGCTCCATTGCCCAAATTCTTGGTAAAGTGGTCCAGAGGAGAACATAGCCTCCGGCGGCGTGATAACGCAACCGCCAACGCATGTTGGCATTTGGACTCTGGCAGTTCAAAGCCGAGGTCATTATTATTCAACGCGGAGTACATACCCAGCGAAACCCTATGAAACTCAGGATCGCTTCACTACGAAGGTGCAGAAAGCAACAACAAAGCAACAGCAACAACCCGGATCTTGCCGCAGTAAGGAGCTGCAAGGACAATCGTTGGCCGTGGGTCGAGGACATTCTAGATCTAAACGAGGACGTCCCATCTCACAACGTCTAGCGATCGATGATCGTCCGTTAGGAGTCCCCATCGTGTATCATTTAAATTGTCTTTGAGAACTCGCTGATTGACATGAGTGTGGTATTTGTATAGGTCATTTAATGTAGGTTTTATGAAATATTTTGACCAACAGCTCCTCAACGACCATGTGAACTTGGGCCCAACTTTACAACGCGTCGCATGGAACACAAATAAAAGGTCGTGCGAACAATGCGTAAAAACCTATTTAAAAGCCTAAAATGCCACCCTGTTGTCATTAAATTCTCTCATTAAATTCATAATTTAAATTAAAATATAGCTTGTTCTTGATTATACATTTAAAACCCACTGTTCGGTCATGCCGCAGCCTAAATCAAACCACTAATTTCAAATCGTAGCGTAAAACCAAATTCTCGATGTTCTCCTTTTGTTTTGCTATTTTCCCTGCGCGGCAACACTGTTTTGATTGTCATTGTTAACTACCTTTGCACTTTTTCGCTTATCGCTTCCTGGCCTTGTCCACGGCAAGCTGCTATATAGTTCGATTTTGGTACTCGCTTACACAAGGCACGATCGCTGATCGCCTGCCAAACCTCGGCTTTATATGCTTTCGTCTAAACCACAGACAAATCAGTCTCCCTGCTAATATACCTTTTCGCTGCAAAAAGGCACAGACAAATCGGTCTGCCTGCCCAACATACCTTATCGCTGTAAAAAGGCACAGACAATTCGGTCTGCCTGCCTAACTAAATCTACAACAAACTAACTTTGTACATTTAAGGCCTTGGTGCCAAATAATAAATAAGTGAATTTTATGAACTAAATTTGTGATTATTTTAATTGGGGCACAGTCAAGGTAATGGTTAGTAAAAAAGCTTACTGACCCAACATTTTGGTGACCCCGACGTGATTGTGAAACAATAGAAATTCTAACCATCTAAAACTAAAGAACAACCAAACAAATAATTTATTATTTTCGTTTCGGTTTAAAGTTGGTGATCGTGCAAGTACATAACAGCAGAACATACGCAAGCTGAAAACTCCGCTAGACCTTCGCACACACCCGCCCCCGCGCATTGTAAAGTGAATTTTCGTTTTCTTTTGTGCCGTCGTTCCCGCTTTAAACGTTTTACAGCGGCGACAAAACTTTTGTGCGCGGGTTCATTGCCTACATTGCATATGCAATAGACTTACGCATAGATTTCGCTTCGTTTTCGCTGGCTTAGAATTTTGGCGCTAATCATTGCACAGTGGAACTTGTTTAGTGTGCAAGTGATAAATTCTCGAAGCAATTAAAATCAATTTTAATAAAATGTCAACGAACCAAACGCTTTCTGCTCCAGTTGCGGGAGCAAAATGTTTCAAGTTGAAGGCTGAGTCAATGCTTTCTAAAAAGAAAGCCTTCGAGAAGGCCCTGACTGCCGACAAGCTCCAGGAAATGTGCGAGGAGGAATTGGAGCTTCGTGTTCAACGCCTGGACGAGATCAAGACTGCCTTTTTCCAGATCCACGACAGACTTGAACAGCTGGACTTCAATGAAATTGGTAGTATAGTGCGCGATGACTTCGAGGAGCTTTTCATTTCAACAAAAACAAAATTGAATATTGAATTGCGTAAGCGAAAAGGGTCCAAGCCAGGGTTGCCAACTCGGATTTATAAAAAGGCGTAGGTCAGACAAAGAAAGTTATGTAGAAATGTGAAATTGCCATATAGAAAATACGTAGATCTACGTACTTTTTTCTGAGGGAAATTAAGAGAGTAGGGTAGGTAAAAGTAAATAAAATGACAATTTATATTACCCTAAAAGTAGTAGACAGCAAACAAACAACAAATTTAAAAATAAAAAAAATCTTTGAATTATAGATCTACCAGAATCTCATGGCAAATAAGCCAAACTTTACATGCAAATATAAATATAATGATCTGTGTATATAGATATTTATATATTGGCACATAGAGTATGAAATAAATAAGGCTAAATAATGAATGGATTTTAATATACTTGTGTATAAAGTTTGGCTTATTTGCCACGAGATTCTGGTAAACCTATACCACCTGTAGTTAATTTAAACAAGTTAAACAAGAGGCTAGGGGTGCCCGTTAGTATGAAACGGAACGTTTATTAATTTTTTTCGCGAAAATAAAGGTAATTATGCCCATTCAGTCTATTTTGCAAATTTGAACAATTTTGATAGAAAATACGTAGATTCTGGGACTTAAGTTCGTAGGTTTGCAAGAAAGGCTTAAAGTACGTAGATCTACGTAAAAAGACGTAGAGTTGGCAACCCTGGTCCAAGCATCATAGCCCTTTGCACCCTGGCTCTCAGCCTTCGTCCGCGGTTCAGCGAGCTCCCGTGGCTGAACTAACCTTTTTATCCGTTCGAACGATGCATCAACTGGCGAGTGATGAGAAGAGTACATTTCCAATCGGGTCTAAAACCATTTTGCGAGACTTCTACGTTGACGATCTGATCATAGGAGGGCAATCAACACAGGAGGTCCCCGAAATCTACGACGTCCGTGATCAAATTCCTGACTTGGAAAAGGAAACATTCCTGAAGATTGACGATGGCAGCGACAAGACGCTCGGTCTTTCTTGGGACCCTGCAACGGATGTGTTTCGTTTCTCTTTTTCTACCATACAGGTCTCTCCAAAGCCTTGTAAGCGACTGGTGTTGTCCACAATTGCTCGGACTTACGATCCTCTTGGTCTCATTGGTCTTGTAGTTGCCAAGCCAAAAACTTCCTGCAAGAGGTCTGGAGAAAAGAGTTGGGATGAGCGCTTTCCTGAGGCACTCAACACATCGTGGCTGAAGTTGTCATCCGACATTAGTCGAACCCAGCAAATAAAGTTTCCTCGACGTGCGCTGCATCCAAATGGTGCTATTGAGATTCACGGATTCTGTGACGCCAGCATCGACGCCTATGGGGGATGCATTTATCTCGTTTCAATAGCTGAGGGCAAGCGAGAAATGCATCTGTTTTGTTCAAAGTCCCGTGTGGCACCTTTGAAGACTCTCACAGTTCCCAAATTGGAGCTGTGCGCTGCCGTGTTACTGGTCCAGCTGATGCGGGACGTACGCAACATGGATCTCTTCGATTGCCCGTTTTATTGCTGGTCGGATTCCGCTGTAGCTTTATCATAGAGAAGCGATGAACCTTCACGTTTCCAAGTATTTATTGCTAATCGAATTTCTTTAATTTAAGAGCTATCCAGTGGCATTAATTGGCGCTATGTACCGACTGACTGCAATCCAGCCGACATCTTGTCAAGAGGTGCTTCCCCGACTGAGGTTCTTGAATCTGCTCTTTGGTTCAGAGGCCCAGCGTTTCTTCTCAAGAATCAGCACGATTGGCCTGAATCTTGTTTCCCTGTGAAGACTCTGCCCGAGCTCAGAAAGCGCATTTTTGTTGGCGCCTCTACCGAAGTGGATCTGACTTTAAAATGCAAGTTTTTGAATTCCTGGCTAAATATGACCCACACCTTTGGATATGTTTACAAATTTGCACACCTTCGAAGATGTCAAAATGGGCACTCAGATGCTCATCAGATGTATCCAAATGAGCAACCTGGCTGATGACTACTGGAGACTGCATTCTAAGCAGCAAATTTCATCATCCAGCCCGTTGTCCTCTCTTTTGCCATTCATCGATAGCTTCGGTCTGATGCGAGTTGGTGGCCGTCTACAGAATTCGTCCTTGGATTACAATGCGCAGCATACTGCCATGCCAGCATCCAGTTACACGTGCCATTATACTGGTCTACGAGCACTGCTCGCTCACATGCGCCTTCAGTTTTGGCCGATAGGTGGCCGGAAAACAGTGTCAGCTGCAACGTCAAAATGCGTCATTTGCTTTCGTGCCAAACCACAGCTTTCTCAACACATAATGGCTGACTTGCCCAAGGATCGTGTAAACGCCACGTCTACGTTACGTTTTATTACAAAACCGGAGTTCGAAGCAAGGTGCCTGTGACAACGTACGTCTGCGTTTTCATCTTTCGACACAAGAATATTTGGGAGCACTGAAGCGGTTTATTCTCACTAGAGGCAAACCTGTCCGAATATGGTCGGATAATGCCACGAACTTCGTTGGAGCCAAGAACGAGCTAGCTGAGCTGAAGAATCTATTCTTATCGAGCCCCCACATTCGAGCGATTGAAGAATTCTGCTTGGAAGATTCGATTGAGGTGCGTTTTATTCCCTCTCGTTCACCTCACTTTGGAGGTCTCTGGGAGGCTGCAGTAAAAACGGCCAAATTTCATTTCTACCGTTCTGTTGGCCCATCGTTATTATCGTTCGATGAATTACGCACTCTCATTTGCCACATTGCGGCGATTGTAAACTCACGGCCTTTACTCCCTCTTTCAGAGAATCCGGCAGATCTTGAGGCGCTAACTTCTGCACACTTTCTTGGCACAGTTCCACTGGTGTTGTATTCTGAGCCTGACGTCACAAAGCTGAACTTCAATCGTTTGGACCGCTGGAAGAGAATTTCCTACTTCCAACAAATCTTCTGGTCAGGGTGGCGTGAAGAGTACTTGACCCTGTTACAGCAACGGTCAAAGCGGCGCACTCCCAAACCTGTGCTGCAAATCAACGATATCGTCTTGGTCCAGAATGAGATTTTGCCTCCACTTAAATGGCCATTAGCCCGGGTCATGGAATTGGTGCCCGGATCCGATGGAGTTTCTCGTGTGGCAGTAATACGAACTTCAACTGGAGTCACTCGCAGAGCTGTCCGCCAATTGTGCGTGCTTCCGAAGCTGGATCTGGTTGAAAGCCCACGTCTTCCAACGGGGGAGTATGTTCGGTCATGCCGCAGCCTAAATCAAACCACTAATTTCAAATCGTAACGTAAAACCAAAGTATTTGCCCTGCGCGGCAACACTGTTTTGATTGTCATTGCTAACTACCTTTGCACTTTTTCGCTTATCGCTTCCTGGCCTTGTCCACGGCAAGCTGGTATATAGTTCGATTTTGGTACTCGCTTACACAAGGCACGATCGCTGATCGCCTGCCAAATCTCGGCTTTATGTACTTTCGTCTAAAGCACAGACAAATCGGTCTGCCTGCTAATATACCTTTTCGCTGCAAAAAGGCACAGACAAATCGGTCTGCCTGCCCAACATACCTTATCGCTGTAAAAAGGCACAGACAATTCGGTCTGCCTGCCTAACCAACTCAACAACAAACAATAACTTTATACATTTAAGGCCTTGGTGCCAAATAATAAATAAGTGCATTTTATTAACTAAATTTGTGATTATTTTATTTGGGCACCGTGAAGGTATTTTTTTTTTTTTTTTTTATATAGCTTTGCTTTTATTTATTGAATCTACTCTTAATTTTGAGACTAACAATAAGTTGGCGAATCTTAACATTAAAATTTAACTAGCAGTATACTAAGACTGCATTCTGGTTGCGCGTCCCTCAGGTCGTTCGCTGGGTGGGTAAGTCATTGCGACGAAGGCGTGATTGGTTGCTCAACCTTGTTAGACCTCTCGCCAGGTGGTTAGGGTGCACCGATAGCTTGGTTAAGTACTTTGCCTTCTGTTCAGCGATCACTTCTTTGACTGGTAGAATGTTCAAGTCGCGGTGTACGTTTTCGTTGCGAACGTACCACGGTGCCCCGGTGATTGTTCTCAAGATCTTCGACTGAACTTTGACCGAGCGTTGATAAGCCAATAAAGGCTGCTGGCTTTTAGCTTTAGGTGTGTTCTTTTGGCTTCAATGTGCCGGCGCCATGTGAGTCTTCTGTCGAGATGTACTCCTAGGTATGTTACTTCGTTTGCTTGTGGGAGTAGGGTGTTGTTTAATGTAATCGGCGGGCAGTTTTGCCTGTTCAGAGTGAACGTAACGTGCTTGCATTTTAGTTCGTTCACTTTAATTCGCCAATCTGACAGCCGCTTTTCAACATCGATCAAATGAAGAGCTAGCTGCGCAGTTGCTTGAATCGGGCATTTTGAGCGGCTAAGAATAGCTGTCTCATCGGCAAACGTGGATGTTGTTAGACGTGTGCTTGTCGGGATATCTGCTGTGTACAGGACATATAATATTGGCCCTAGCACGCTACCTTGAGGAACTCCAGCTCCAACAGTGTAATCGTCAGATATAGCAGTGTTGCACCTCACGACAAATTTTCTGTCGTTAAGGTAAGACTCTAAAATCTTGTGGGTGCTGTAGGGGAGCATTGTCTTGATCTTGTACATTAGACCTTCTAGCCAGACTCTATCAAATGCTTGAGAGACATCTAAAAATATGGCAGTACAGTACTCCCGTTTTTCGAACGGGTTCCGAATTTTGGATGTTATTCGGTTGACCTGCTCAATTGTTCCATGCTTTTCACGAAACCCAAATTGGTGTGACGGGATACCTTCCTGCATTCTCAGGTATGTTTTTCAAAGAGTTTGGATAGGCAAGAGAGTAGGCTTATAGGTCTATACGACGTGGGGTAGTGTGGTCTTTCCCCGGCTTTGCTATCATTATTATAATTGACTTTTTCCATCTCACTGAAGAGTGGCCAAGTTTTGCGATGGCATTAAATAGCTGGGTGAGAGTGCAAACGGCGCAGTATGGAAGCTCAATGGTCATATTGGGAGTTGTGAGGTCGCAGCCCGGGGATTTTTTCGGATTCAGTTGATGATGTTAACGATTTCGTTTGGGCGAAACTCGATTGGCTCATGTTGAGGCTGGGGTTCATATGATGGGTGCATGGCATAACGCCCAGTGTCATAGCGCCCGCGGGCGTTCCGTCACTTTCTGAAAGTGTCATATCGCCCGCGGGCGCTATGTCATTTTTCTTGTGGGCCTTATGACACTGTGAGAAGTGCATTGACGCCCGAACCTAATAATAATGAAATACCTGGTATAAATGGATGCATGTAAGTGCGGATCAGAAGAGATCCAAGAGCCGGGTACAGAGTCAATCGACTCAGGAGGGAGCATCCCGAACCTAATAGTAATGAAATACCTGGTATAAATAGCCGCCCAGCATAATTAATCGTGGGAATCGAGTGCTCAATAGCGTAAGAAGCGCCGCAGGCAAAAATTTTGCTTGCGCTTAAATAAAGTAAATTTAAATACAAAATTGTGTTAACATGTCATTTATTTCATTTAAACATTATTGATAAACTTTGATTTGGCTGTCTACTATTTGCCTGCAATATGGGCAGAGCAATAGAGACTTCGCCGCTTTCATTTTCATCACTTTGTAGCACTCAAAACATATTTAGGTGTATATTTATTGATGTGGCCTGTAGGTAGTTTTTAGCAAATTTCGGATGATAATGGTGCTTAATACGGCTTCTGATTAAAATTCCAGTCCCGCCGTGTGCTTTACCATCTGGATGATTTGTTCCATAGAATGAATATCCTCGTAGTTGGAAATTGCATCTGTTTGTAAGATGTATTTCTGAAAGCAGCATTACGTCGATTTGATTGTCTAGTGGGAATTGCGCAAACTCGAGTTTATGCTGCGAAACGCCGTTAGCGTTCCACGTAGATATTCGTAGGGAAGTCATTATTTGGATTGTTGTGAAACCAGCATTTGTATAAGTAGATTTTGGTTTCGCATTAGATCTTCCATAGTTGTACGCATAAACGACATAAACTCCGTAAGGCTTTGTTGTAGACTGTATATCAAAGTTTCAAAGTTACTTTTTGGCTGCTCCGGCGGTTGATGCTGCTGAGCCGTGTTCGGTTCTTGGTGTGCTGATTGCGGCAGTGAGATTTTTGGGGCTGTGGTAGCCAGTCCTGATTTTAAAGCGCTTGCGTATGTGACATTTTTGGCAGAGTTTATGGGTCCTAGTGAGGATCTGGCTGCAGTCAAGAAGAAGACTTCAGGGTTTGACCTGGAGGCTATGAACTGATTATTTTGGCTGCGGGCAGTAGGTTCCCTCTGGTGGATGCGACTTTTCAGCTCCTTGTAAACTGGACAACCTCTATAGTTAGCAGTGTGATTTCCACCGCAGTTGCCGCACTTTTTCGAGTTCTGGTCATCTTTACTGGCTGGGCAGTGTGCGGAGTCATGAAGCTCACCACAAACTACACACACCGGGCGCAGTTTATAGTAAGACCCTGTATGGCCATATTCTTGGCAGTTCGCACATTGTACCGTGCCATTGCGTTTGTGCGGCAGGAACTGAAGATTGTATATAGGGTGCACTTCGTATTTCTTTAGGGGCGTATTTTGTGGTTCGAGCTCAACCTTAAAGAGTGGCTGTGGCTTTCTATCCCTGTTAAGGATATTGAAGACTGTCTTAGCGCTAAAGCCCTTCTCTTGTAGCGCCTTTGTTATCTCTGCAGGCGATACTTCGGACTCTATGCCCTTAAGTACGACTTGCAGGCCCTTGCTGCTTTTCAGCTGATAAAAGTGCTTTTTTTTTTGTCGGTGAGGTATTTCGATAATACTCTGTAATTATCTTCAGACTTCGTTTGAACTTTTCTTTCCTGGATGTTGCCCTTTACGAGTGGTATTATGTGAAAGTTGTCCTTGCCAATAAGCTCTATAATTTTGTTGACAATAACGTTGAAACTTTTTTCTCGTATGTAAATTGGCGGGGGCTTAGGCTTCCTTTTTTCGACTTCTGTAGATTCGGCGTCTTCCTCATAGTCTGCCAAGAATTTAAAACGGTTTGAGTTCGTAGGCGTTTCTATTGCAGCTATGTTAGCATTGTCACGGGTTATTTTGCGTTGAGAGTTTAGGGGGCTCAGCTTCCTTTTGATTTGAATGTAGCGATCCATACCAGTCTGCACAGCCGGCTTAATATTTTCTTTGGATTTGTTCTCTTTTTCGGGCAGCGCAGCGGCAGAAGTGTTAATGTTTGCGTTGCTAGCTGATGACGTCGTTAAACACGCTGTCGTTACAGTTGCGGTGGTTGTTGTTGTTACGGTTGACGTTGTCAAAGAAGTTGCGGTGCTAGTTACTGCGCTCTTTGGCTGCAGACACATCGATGGTAGCGAGGGGGAGCAAGAACGCGCTCTCTCGCTCTCTACTTTTAAGTATTCGCTCAAGTTTGGGGTAATTGACCGTGTTTGGGATGAGCTTGCATTACTTTCGGTTGCTTTGAAAGTGCAGTAAGCGTTGTTTCTTTGTACTGAGAGCCATCTCTCGTTTTGCTCACGTTGACGTTGTGTGCGAAAGTCGTTTAGACTCATTGCAATCGAGGTTGATTTTGTTCGAGTTTTAAATGTTATCTATATATATAAAAATGGAGACAAAAAATGTACGGAATCGCATCACATAAAAACGGCTTGACCGATTTGCCTGAAAATTGGTAGGGAGGTAGCTTAGAGCCAGGAGAAGGACACATGATACGTTTTATCCCGTTCGACATACCAAAAATCGCATATAAAGTGAGTTACTACCTCATCACACTGGCAAACACACGCTACCATAGCATTTTAACTCAATTTTTGTGGTTTTGGTGAATTGAATTGAAGTAAAGTTTTTGTAATTTTGGTGTCAGTCATTGAACTTCTCCTAAACGGCTGAACGGCAGAAATTATAAAGTCAAGTTTGGAAGACGACGTTGTTGGAACATAGGTCTATTTTCAGTAAGATTTTCGTTTTTAACAATGCCACAAACCAGACGTACAAGTATAGGCCGCAGAACTAGAAATACGGCGAGTCAAAGATATACATATATGTAAGAGCAACTCAAACTGATGAGCAACGCGAAGCGCGAAATTAACTTCAACGGAATCGAAATCAACATATGTAGAAATGTTGTGTTTAATCTCTATAGAGCTGCATTCTGTTATAATGTGGCAATTGATTACAGTTCAGAGCAAATCGTTGCTATTGGACTAATGAATATTGTGTGTCCACATTGCAATGCATTGAAGTTCAAAAATGAAGCCCCTGGATTGTGTTGCGCCAGCGGCCAAGTCAAGTTGACGCCATTGGTACCACCACCAGAGCCACTACATTCATTGGTTTCCGGAAATGGGCCGGATTCGAATCATTTTTTGACTCATATACAGCAATACAATAATTGCTTTCAAATGACATTATTTGGCGCAACAAAAAAATTTCGAGACAGTTTTAAGCCTACTTTCAAGGTAAGTAAGTATAATGGCAAACAATTTTATTTAGTTTTACAACCATGTAGCTGAGTCAGTGTTGTGTAAATGTGTTTACAAAGTGTTCTACAATTTTCTATACAATTACCGAAATACATATGTAGAAAATTGCTTCTTGACTCCAATTCATTTGATATATGTATAATAATCAGGGCTAACAGAGTTATGTTTTTAAATGAAAAAATATTTATTTCCATATTTTCGCCTTTTTTCCTATAAATCCATATTTTACACAATCACTTCAATAAATCCATATTTTGAGCATTAAAGTGTCTGAAAACCTGTAGAAAAATAAGTTTGGCTCAAATATTATGAAATTTCTGTCGTTTGCCTTATACTCGATAATAAATAATGTAAACAAAACATCGTTGCGTCGTTAATCAATCAAAATATGTATCATCGAATGTATCAAATATGAATCTGCGAATTCTTCAGGACATATCGCGAATGTTAGCAGGAAATCTCATTGATAGTTCTACAGAAGGTGACGATCTTATCCTGAATTTATCACCTGCTGAACTGAATGCATATGCAAATGCTCCTGTTACATCTTGCGATGTTGAGCGTTCATTTTCATCATATAAACACATATTGAGTGACAAACGCCGTAGTTTTGTTTTTACTAATCTGACACAACATGTCATATTGTTCTGCAATGATCTTTGAGACAAACGGCGTACTTTTGTTTGTAGTGATTTCTAATTGTTCATTGTCATAAAAAGTTAATATGATCGATATAATCGTCTACATTTATCCATTTTTATACCTATATTTATCCCTATTTTCGTATACTACCTATATTTATCCATATTTATCCATTTTATTCCATATTTGTCAACTTTTTCGTCCATATTTCGTCCATATTTCTCTATTTTTTCGTCCATAAATCCATACATATTCTTACGTTTTTAAGAACAAAACTCTGTTAGCCCTGATAATAATATAAGCACTTTAATTAATATAAATATGATATGTAGCTTTTACAGTTTTTCAACTTCGTTTTACATTTTTTTTCTTCGAGAACACACGACCTTCTTCCTTCCAAGCTAATTCTCTACTCTCTCAGCTTCTTATATTTCCTTCTCTTGACGCTCCCTTCTGTTAAACCTAATGCTAAGAATCAGATGTTCTGTTAAATAAAGATTTCTGGAATCGCTCATGAGAGATGGCAATCCTACATTCGGCTATTCTGCAATTCATTCGTCCCGAATGACGGCGACCATAGTTTCATGTATTCCGCAACTGTATTTGTCTTGATAGGACCTTCATCATCTCTAACCTTTTCCATGAGATATCTTCCATGTCTTAACTTGCGTATAACGACATAGGGTCCTTCTTCAGCTTCAATCCGGTTCCAAACTGCGTACGTTTGATAGCGACTAAATCCCCAATAGTTTCTGGTTTCCTAGACTTGTTATATGCCTTGCTATTTTCATCCTGAATCTTTGAGATGTTTTCCTTGGCTTCTCGACGAATATTTTTTTTTACTTCTTGCAACTCGCTTAAATAGTCTTCTTCCAGTAAATTTCCCAAATCAATATCGTACTTAGTCTTCATGTTTATTCCAGTTAAGATTTTAAACGGAGATAGTTTAGTACTTCTAGGTGGTGAAGAGTTTATAAACTGTTGAAGTCTTCCTACGTGTTTGTACCAGGCTTTCGGGTCTTCTGCACAAAGTTTGGTCAGTAGGGTGATGACAATCCGGTTGATACGCTCAACTTGGCCGTTGCCGCGAGGCACTCCTGTGGCTACTAACAAATGTTGAATATTGTTATCCTTGCAAGATTCCTCAAAGACATTCGCTGTAAACGCTGTTCCTGTTATCAAGCGACTTGGATTACCGAATACTCCCGATTGCCTTCGTAGTCTGTCCACGACCTCATCGGCGCCGGTGCTTTTGGTGGGATAAAGCCACACAAACTTAGAAAAAGCGTCGACTACTACTAGGATTTGATTGTATTGCTTTTTTGTCAAGTCCATCGGACCAACGTGGTCGATGTGGTATGTTTGTAAAGATTTATCTGATTTGTTTATAGTATTAAGATAACCCTCCTTTTTCCCATGCTTCGCCTCACCAACTATACATTCTATACAAGTCTTCACAATTGCTTGAGCTTTTCTATCTAGTTCTGGGACATAATAATCACGCTGAATCAGATCGATCGTCTTCTTGACTCCAAAGTGTCATTCTCGGTGAGCCGTGCGGATTATTTCGACTTCCATGGCTGACGGAATTACGATAAGCTCTTTTATCGTGTCCTTGTGAAAAATTTCGTGCTTGAGAGCAAGTAAATTCTCCATTTCCTTAGAGCCTGTACTATAGCGAGTACTTCTAGCTCATAAGATGGATATTTCTCTTCGGTTTCTGTTGTCCTGCGGCTCATGTACTCTACCGTACATGCTTGCATCACAATGCACTTCTGTGGCACTCTTTTGGTCGAATAACTTTAATACTGCAGATCTAGATAAGTATAGTTTTAACTGGTTAAACGATGCTAACTCTTCTTCGCCAATCTTAAAGAAAGCAAAATCCTTCACAAATCTCCGAAAATAGGAAGTTAGGCCAAGATATCGCTGAACTCCTTTCTTGTCTCGCGGAACTGGAAAATTTTCGACCGCCCACGTCCTTTCTGCTGACGGTTGGATAGTGGCATTTTCGACTATATACCCTAAGAACTGAACTCTTTTCTGTAAGATCTGACACTTATCCCACTTGATACGTAGACCTGACTCTTGTGCTACACTCAAAACTCTCTTAAATTTCTCCAGTCCTTCACGCTCATCTTCCGATGGAATTATCAGATCTTCCCTGTACAAAATCAGAGTACCGTCTTCAATTAACGGTCTGAGTACAGAAAATATGTACCTCATGAACACAGCTGGAGAATTAGAAGTTCCAAATGGTACGATGCAGAATTCGTACTGTCCGCTTTCAGTGACAAACGAGGTATATTTTCTGGAACTCTCGTGTACGTGGACATGGAAAAATCCATTTGATAAATCCAATGTTGAAAATACTTTTCCTTTTTGAAGCTTCTGCAACACGTCATCAATCAGCGCCATAGGGAAATTATCGCGAATAATCTTTTGGTTCAATTTCCGATAGTCACAACAGAGCCTTTTAGTGCCATCATTTTTGGCCACCAGGACAATGGGAGAGGCGTATTCCGAAACACTTTGACGAATGATTCCATCCTTGAGCCAATCCTTGATCTGCTTAACAACTTTCTCGTTATCCTCGAACTGGAATTTCATCTGTCAGAAGAATCTTCATTTCTATTGGGCTTGATTCAGGCTTCCGTGGCTGATATGTTTTAATTAAATCCACCACTTCCGACTTTAAATCATGGCACAGGTGAATGAGATCTAAATCTGGCACAATCTCTTCGTAAAAATCTGCTGTCATTAACTGATGAAACGTTTCTGTCAAGTCTGGTATATTTAAAGTTGAAGCTTTCTCAGCAACATTTTGATAATCACTTTGATGAGTGATGTTTATTTCATTGTTCCGAGCAGAGTTATTAATTACTCGATCTTTGACTACAGTGCGATCATGAACATTTGCTGACGATACTTTATGGAAAACCACTCCCTTTGCTCCTATAATTGCGTTTACGTTGTCCAAAACATCACTGCCCATCACACCTTCATAAAGAGTATCTTTGTCACGGACCACATGGAAACACATGTCAATGGCAACGTCGTCCAACTTCGTAGCAATCATAAACGAGCCTAAATTGTAGATCTTTTTGCCTCCGATTCTAACTAGCTCCTTAATATTTGGTTTTAAAATGCCTGGATGGATTCGCATGTCAGCTGTCTCGCAAATAGTACAAATATCGCTGCCAGAATCAAATAATGCTGTAATCTGGCCGTTTCCAATACTAATGTTTTTGAATGCTCTATTGTAAGTCGATTGTGACAGTTGTTGATGGTTGGAATTTTCGTTTTTTATTTCCCTACGAGTCTCTCTGGTACCGCACTGATTTGCCTTGTGTCCTATCTGGTTACACTTGAAACATTTAATGCTTGCTTCTTTACAGTCCTTTGCGATGTGTCTTGTCTCTTGGATTGCTTTGTTTAACGGAATTTCATACCTTGGCTTCTGCTTATAGCTCTGACTCGCACTTATCTTCTCATAAATTTTAAGTTTCTCACGGAACTCCTTAAGATTAGAAGCTTGGTATAAGCAGCTCTTATTTTGCTTTGAGTCTGGTATACCCTCTATGATGTAATCTATGATGCTTTCCTCATCCAACTTGGACTGATTAGCCAAAGCAGTTATGCTGTAGAAATATTCAATTAAACTCTCTTTTTGAGTTTTCTTTCTGTTTTCTAGCAACTTGTGGACCTGTTTTGCTGAGAGCTTTTCTCCAAACTCATTTCTTAGGGCTTCTTTCAATGAATTCCAATCATTTATTCCTAACTGCCTGCCGTAAATAAATTTTTGAAGATCAGTCCACCCAACTGTAATGAAATTTAATTCAAAATCTTCCAGAAAATGCAGAAAGGGAATCTTCAATGTCTCTTAGTGTAAACGCCATGGTTGAAGTAGTATTAGGTGTGTGTGATTCTTCATACACTGATGAGTCCTCTGAATGCTCTAAAGTTTCCTCTGGGTCTATATTATTTCCCGCAAAATAGGATACTAGTCTCTGCTGTAACTCTGGTTTGTTTCCTGAACTTTTCAAATTCAATTCTTTAAGTTTATCTCTAAGCTCTGCAACAGAAAATCGTGTGATCTCTTCAACATTCATATTCTTCTTACTGAAATCTAACTCTTAAAACACTATTTCTACTATTAATATTTTTTGAATACCTTTCTCTTAAAACTAAAGAACAATTTAAATCTGAATAATATATAGTTAAAGTTGCAATAAAGTAAGTTATATAGAAATTTAAATAAATGCTTCTTTCCGGTCGTCTCTGTTGATGCACCCCTGGATGCCTTGACTGCTTGGGTTGTCGTTGCGATTTGTCTCGCAACCGTTGCGCGCCTCCTGTTGAACTGCTTGCCACCTCGTGCCTCGATGTTGATGCCATCGCTGCTTTCGTAGGACACCTCTTCTGGAACTTTGTCGCTTCGTCTTTCTGGCTGTTTTCCTCTTTTGATCTTCTTCAGCTTTTCCACGATTATGTTCACCTCCTCAAGCTGTCACTGTAGCCATTTTTTATCGCCGTAAGCGACGACGGATTAATGACGTCACCGCTTTCATATCTCGCCTCCGTTTAAACTTCTTTGCGTGTGGAGCTCCAGAATTTTACAATATTTCGAAATACTTAATAGCGGTTGCGAAATATGCAAATTCTTTTCTCCTCTTAGCTTTTTATCTTTCTCACTGCTTCGTTCCTCTTCTCTCTTCTTCGTTGTTGGTGCGCAGAATCTCGCAGTATTTCGCAATGTTTTATGGAATTGCGAAACACGAAAATTCTTGTTTCCTCTTAGTTTTTCTC